TTGAAGACGTATTTTGAATAAAGAAGTTGCTCCCTCTTTAACTGTTTAAGCTTTTAGACTAAGTGATTCAGCACTTATTGTTCTTCCTCTGTAAACTGTTATAATGAAATAGAAGAAATATTTGGAAATGCAGAACGGAAAAACTGTTTGATTCAGTTGAAGACAAGGAAGAAGCGAGTTCCATGCATTCAAAGTGCATTCCAAGGTCTTTCAAGGCTACATTGAGTAAGCAGCCAAGATGTGAATCAATGCGATCCCCTCTCTCTGAGGGGCCTCGAATCTCATCTGATCGAGTGGATAGTTCAAGAAACATTACAGCTGGCACGGCCAATGTCGGAAGCAAGAAAATTGAAGAGCCTTTCTTTGAAAAAAGCCAGTCGAAGAAAGTAGATTCTTTCAGAGACGAGAAGGAAAAAGTGATCAAAATCGAAGAAAGTTAAGTTCCTGCCAATTCACTCTTACCACAGGCACTCAAATACACTGCTTAATGCTGTCCTTTTTCATGTGGGCTGAAATCTTTTTCACTTTTTTTGTAACAGGCTTGCTTCGGGAGTACGGATTATAATACAATCGAAAGCATCCTCGGACAGTGAGGATAACTCCAAGAAACAGTTCGAAGATTGATCCACGACAGTTTTTGATGGAATCTAGTTGAAAAATACTCTCATTTCATAACTAGACCTCGTCTGGTCTTGTGAATTTGTTGGGTACTCAACTTCGTGTTTCTGTGAATCTGGAATGAAGTTATGATGCAAATAGCACATTAGCTGAAAAGATTTGAGTTTTGGAATGGTCCTAGAGGAATTACTAGTCGTTCTTTTGTCTGATTGTGTCATGCTTGGCGGTCCTTCTGGTAATGTAGACAAGATTTAGCTGAATACATCAGTTTTCAGTTGAGAGATTGTGAACTACAATGGTTTTGACTGTGTAATTAGTGAAGTTTTAAGAATTAGAGAATTGTTTTGTACATTTGGTTCAAAGTCCTCTCATAGAAAATATGGATATGGAAAATCCGCTTTGTCTTCTACGTTCGGCTGGAAAAATTAAGAACGGGTTCAGTTAAAAGTCTAAAAATCGAGTATAAAAAAACCAGAATAAAACCTGGATTGATCATATATGTGGATTTATTTTTTTTTATTTAAATAGGAGAAATCTGCCAAAATAAATAAATAAAATAATAATAATAATAATAATAAATCAAAAGAACCAAATAATGGAGAGGACGTTATCCAAGAAGCATAGGATTCTGCTTCACTTTAAGGTTGAACCAGTTGGAATTGATGTGATTGACTAAAAGTTAGATCCTTCAAAGTCAACATAGACAAAACATCAAAAAGTTGAATCAGAAAAGTGCAAAAGATTGAAAGAAAGTCAAAACAATTATATATTTTGTAATGCTTTTCATATTAATTTATTTAACAATTTTTTATTCTCAAAAAAATTAATTGCAATTTCATCTGATTTTTTTTCCCCTCATTCATCTATCTCTTTATAAATTAACATTCAGTAGAGTTTCTCACTGAGTCATATACATATGCCTCTTTCATTTTTTAATTTGCATGTGCACCTAATTTATCAAAAATATCACTTTCTGTGTGGAAAATGTCCAACTTACCCTTCATGTCCCCTTTTAGGAATTAATGCTATGTTCCAATTCAATTAATATTATGATTTGATTAGTTAAATTTATATATTATAATCATTGCATATATATATATATTAGATTCATCATCCATTTTGAGAGGTTAGTTATTACGAATTATTTTTTATTTTTATCGAATAGTTTACTCTTTTTTAAATGATAAAAACAAGATGATCATCAAAGTGAAGAATGCTTTTGAAATCCAAGTCGAAGTACGTGTCGGTGATTAAATTGTCGAACATAGAACTATGAAGAATAAGACTACGCATTAACAAATATTCTGACTTCATCCAACAACGTCGAATGATGATCAACCATCGCGTATTTCATATAAATTCATTGTTTCTCTTGTGACCCTAGTGATGTGAAAAAAAAGTCATACATTATAGATAAATAAGTAATAATAACATCAATATGATCAAAGTTATCATGGAAGTCAATTGATGAACGCAATTTGTCATAATCATTCTCGTGTACATGGATCTCTGACCACTTCATGTGGGCAGCCAAAATGACATTTCAAGGTGGAAATGAATTCATCAATCAAGCACAATGAACAAAAAATACGAAACAAACCACTGAAACTGGAACACGGAAAATGAATCAATCAATCAAGCATAAACAACTACAAATCAATCAACAAATTATGAGATCATAGCATTTCATACATGTTAATGCGAAACACACGTGCAATGTTAGAACCAAAGTTCAAATTGTGGAACTGAGCTTAGGTAAAGGAAGGAATTGTCGTTCCCAATAGTTCATCTGTCGAAAACTTCATTTGATCTGTCGATGAGTCCATCTGTCGAGAATTACTGATGCTAACTGTTGGGAACGACAGTTCAATGGTAAGCGATTTAAAAGCTATGCTGTCATTTCATTCTGACACAATACACAAGTTTTGTACAGGAATATATAAGGTATTCAAATAATTCATAGGGTCAAAAATGTTCTAAATTGACATTTTTGATAGAAAATTTGAAAGGTGACATTTTTTATAATGCATAGCCAAATTTTGACACCCAATGAAATTTCCTCAAAAAAAAAAAAATTGTTTTAATATGCTTCAAACAGCGGCTAATCATTTTTCTTAATTGCTTTACAAATTCTTCTCTTTTTATGAAACTTTCTCGCAGAAAAGGAAAACAAATTCATACGCTATAGATACCAAAAATATATACGTGTATTCTTAACAGCTTTTTAAGTTGCAAATTTTTTCCAACTTAAAATGAACAATAAATTGACTTTTTGCTACAAAATAATAACTAATAAAAAATGAATTTGATTGATTTTTTTTTTTCATTGAACAAATTTTCTTAAATAATGTAACAATAAAAAAAATTTATTTACTTTTGCAATGTTTAAAGATTGAAATGAATTATTTTAAAACTTTTTCGACATTTATTAAATTTATTTTTTATTGATTCGATGTTAGAGTTCAGGAGAAGAAGATAATAAATTTTATGCAATATATATTTAAAGAAAAAATATTTCATAAAAAATCAATAGAAAATAATAGACAAAAATGATAATATAATACGGTGGTGCTAGTGGTAAATAGGGGTATACTTAAACGTACACATCCCTCTCACATGGAGTGTGAGATCCACCCGAATAAAAAGCACTTATTCGAGTGGACCCCACACCCCATATGAAGGGGATGTACACCCTTAGGTACACTCCATATATACCACTAGATTAATTCTAATGTAATATATAATTTGTGATTCGTTAATTCAATTAAGTATATTTCCGTTCGTTAGTTGTTGTAAAGTTTCAGCAAATGACGTTTTCTGTAACTATTATGCAAAATGTAGTATATAAAATGTAAATATATAAAATATAGTTCCTCTTTGAGCCCTATTGTAAAGTATAATTACATCCTGCACAAGGTATATTTTATAAATTTTCCTTCCATACGTTCACAACCTTTTTTGTAGAAATAATTATATTCACTCCACAATTTTTTTTATATATATATATATGATTTCACTAGTGTCTAACCTTATTCCGTCTTGAATGTTCAAAGTCTCATTCTTAACTTCGCATAACAAAATATTTGCGAGTTTTTAAAAAATGTTGAAATTATTCGCCCATAAACGTGAAAATTGAACACATTTAATAAATTGAATAGACAAAATGAAAGGAGAAACGTGTGAAATATTTAATCCTTTATCTTCTCTAGCTAATCTTGAAAGATAATTTTTGTTTTCAAGTATATTTGAATATGAAATATTTTACTTAGAAGTAAAATATTTTACTTAGAAGTAATTTTTTCTTATCTTCTTTAATATTTTAATATTAAACTAAAAAATTAATTTTAAAATAACTAATTCATTTGTAACTTTGACCATGCTTAAAGTAAGCTACTATATATTAATCTTTGCCCCGGGGCATAGCTTAATGATGCAAAGGATAGGAGTGAGGTTATTTCATGCCTTGCTGGCCGACGCAGTGTGAGAGTTCGATTCCTGAAACATGAAATTGGACTCCTTGTAAGTGCAGTGTATAGGCAGCTCTTGTTCCCTGACTTGTTGGGGCACATCTCGAGATTTACCTCCCTCACAAAACTCTAGGGACGGGACGGTGGGGGCCCTCAAGGTTAGGGTTCAACCTACCATATATTAATCTTTTCAAAACTACTCTTTTTACTAACCGAACATATTATTTTTTATTAAATGGACAACCAAACATATACAAACATTTATATTTCTTACTTTTACTTATAATTGATTTTTTTTAAAAGCTCGAGACGGCAATCCTCTAGTTTTGACTTAAAGTGATACTGAACAGTGTAAAGTGGAGACTCACATCACATGTCTAAAAACCTACTTTTGAAACTGCATTCGAAATGAATTGCATTGTATTTCTTGATTTGTACAGTAGACATTAACCTTTTCAAATGGTGTTGGTGGCCCTTCTTTTAATGCAATTGAAGTGATTATTCTGCATCGATAAGATAAAATAAAGAATAAAATAGTAATGCCAATTGTTTACATTTAACACTGTTTGATTTGGAGAAATATTAGCCCTTGTTTGAGCTTCATTTTAATGAGGTTTTGAAAAAATATGTATTTTGAAATAATATTTTTTTCGAAAAATGTGTAATTAAAAAGAATAACATCCTAAATTTACACATAATATTATTTTATTAAAAAATGTATAATTAAAAACAAGAGAAAAATGTATTATAATTAAAATGAAACCCAAATATAGACTCAAAATTTTAGTAAATTTTGTTAAAAGTTGATAAAATATTTGATTCAAAAAATTGATAAAAGTCGTGAATCTCATAAAATGTGTTTTAAAAAAAAAATGAGTTTCAAGAAATGAGGATCAAACGAGAGGATATACGGTATGTCAAATGAAATGGGTTTTATGCCCCCACATTAAAATTGAACATAAACGTCTTTGTATTTCCACCTATAATGATGATGATAACAAATAGCATTCCTATCATAGGCGAAATAGTTTCCACATTGTTTGATGTTCTCCGAACTCTTGTTTCTGACATTTCAATCTCTCTCTTTACACACACATCAACTTGTCATATGGATCAAAAAAAGAAAAGAGAAAATATGAGAGAACAAAGTAAATCTTCAATTTCCCTTGTCTAGACCATTGCGATTCTTGGAGTGCAGTGAGACTTCTTGATAGGTGCTGAGCTATAACTATAGTGCAATGAGTTCCTTTCATTCTTCCAGCGGTTTTTCCTTTTAAAACAATTCTTCAAGCCTCCTTGCCAATGATCTTCCAAGGAAATCTGACTTCAATTTGAACTCCTTAATTGAAATAAAGAGCCCTCGCTAATCACTCTTCTAACCGATCACAGCATGGGAAGGGCAAGAGATGCAAGATTTTGGAAAGATCTTGGCCCAGGTAGCAGCTGCCTTCCGATACTCCATTTGGGCTTGTGCATGTTTTTTCTCTCTTGCACAGGTGTTATCCTTTGGGCTCGTGTCAACCTGGAATTCTTGTCCGTCTCATACCCCATGATAAATTAGGACTGATAGGTGCTCTGATACAAAAATTGATGAAGGAACAAGCTTTATCGCACAAATAATAGCAGAGATTGAAAGAACAAATGATTATTAGCAGATATAGAAGTAAATACTTGAAGTCAGAGATTGAAAAAACAAATGATTATTAACAGATAGAAGTAAATACTTGAAATTTAGTGCTTCAGACAAGAATCTCAGCAAACTATAATTTTCACGATTAAAAAGTAAAGTTCTTCAAATATAACTTTTGTTGGAACAAATTTGGTATAGCTTCAAACTTTAAGCGCTCCAAAACCTATTCAACTAGGAAAGCAAAAATCAATTGGAAAAGTCCAAACCTACTGTAACTATAGAAAGAAGCTTGAATCAATTGGAAAAGCAATCCTAATTTCAGTTGAACATCTAAAAGATATATTATTAATAGTCTAATAAAGGTCAACCACATAAAACTAGTCCAAAAATGATTTAGAAAAATTTAACTCTTTCTCCTGCATCATCATAAAGGAGTAGTATCTGTCACTAAATATAACTAAACTTGGCTTCCTTATGTTGTTCAACATTGGCGAAAAATACGATTCTGTTTCTATTTTAATCAAATATATAACAGCATGGTGTTGCGGAGAATTTAACTCTCTATCTTCTTCCTATTCTCCAAGAAACATGAACAATATTAGTTTTAAGATAAAAAGCAACAGCTCTGATGTTGGGAAGAGGGAGCTAAACTTCCAACAGGTAGATAAAAGAGATGTCAGAATTAATATATGAACTCTGCATATGAATTTCGCGAATGAGAAAATGATTTATATTAATTAAACAAAATAGCGTAAGCATGCTCAGGAAATATACCTGATGCCCAGAGAGCTCTCCAAGAATTCAAACTTCACAAACTAAGAGCAGAAGTGAATCTCCAGTGTAAATCAAAAGTTCTTCGATATTAATTATACCAGTCTTCCTTGATCAGGACTGATTTTTGACACGACTTGCAAGGTTGTTCCTTCGGTAATCCAGGCAGTCATATGAGGTTGATGTTCAGAAGGTTTAAGAGAATGCAGACTTCCATCCTCCAGTCGTACACCATAAACAAAAGGTAGCTTCAGTGAGAGGAAACTCTCCGGAGGCAAAATCACTTGACAACCCATGCTGAACTGTAGTTCTTTTTCAGAGTCAACAACAGAGGTAGGTAAGCATGATGCCTGCAATTAAGCAGTGAGATACAGTACTAATTAGCTGAAAAGAAAAGGCCATGTTCTGAAAATGCTACCGGAAATAATTAGATTGCTAAAGTCACATAATTCTTTATTATTAATAAGACATCTAAAACTATTTACTAAAAGATAAACATTGAGATTTCTGCAGTACGAATGAGGATCACTTCAGAACTGAACTGAATCTCATGCATACTTTATGCCCCATTCAAGTTTTCATTTTAATTGGAGTTTCAACCTGACAAACTATCTTTTCTATGCTATCAAGTCCTCCAATGACGAGACAAAAGTTATAGTAGTATCATATTGCAAAATAATTATCCATTTGCCCAAACTGTCAATATGCGCATCATAAACGTAAAAGTGCAAGCAATTGCTCTGGATATTTGAGTATCATCATCATCAAGTCTTGCAGCGTGACATTTTGCCTTTATAATTTAAGTATATTGACTATTGGCAGAAGTACAGGGCAAGGTCTACAATATTATTTCTCAAATCGATCTAAGCCAACCTTTTGTGTAAGAATATATATTATCTAATATCAAGTCCTATACTGCACTTAATGCTGGAGACGTATCTGGGGAGGTAATTGACAAAAGAGGAATTCAGGATATCCGTGAAGCCATGGGTGCCATGACTGAATGACATGTCTCAGTTAATGCTTCAAATGTACAATCTAGGAATTCTAAAACAGCATGAGAAAGTAATTCACTTCTATGGGTTACGGGGAACTATAGGATAGGTTGGGAGTAGATAACATATTTTAATCTTCTACACAGTTTCTCTACTATTACGGTTTTTAAGGCTACAATGACAAAATAGGTGAAATCAACCAATCAATAGTAAATTGTTGAAATAAAGCGTACTCCTTCCTATATACAGTAAGGCACAAACTAGTAAGGATGCCAATTTTTCCTAAACAACAGATATTCCCTTTCCATTATGTTACACTTAAGTATTTCTACTGCACATAATCCAACGAATACCAGTCAGGCAGCTTGAATCCTTCTTCTTCTTTTTTTCTCTGGTAGCTAGATGTGAAATTGTGAATGCAGACCAAAAGCTAACGAAGCACTTCTCCATTCAAATGACAGTCAGCTAACTATGTTGAAAACCAGATGGTGAAAGTAAATTGACATTTATTTTTTATTTTTTACTTTTTATTTTCTGGTAGCTAGATGTGAAATTGTGAGTGCAGACCAAAAGCTAACGAAGCACTTCTCCATTCAAATGACAGTCAACTTAACTATGTTGAAAACAAGATGGTGAAAGTAAATTGACCAATTTACATCAACAGATTCACTTCTGATTTTCTTTTATGAATTGAATAGTTCTTTTATCAAATTTTAAGTGATTTAAGATGAACTTTGACATTTTTTATCTATGATGCATCGACATGGACATGTGTGTCCGATACGATACATGTCGGCAGCCGACGCGCAATTTTTCAAAAAAATACTTGACTGGAATTGGCTGAATGATTTTCCTGTTCGGGATCCCTCCCAATATATAAAAAGAAGTTCACATACACACTCCTACGGTTAATCTAAATATGGAAAACGTAAATATGGTAAAATACAAATATGTACATAATAAAGGTAGTAAAAGTTGTTTGTAATCTTCATCGTAATCTATGTTGATCGTCAATATCTTATTATCATTCCCCCTCAAATTGATACTGATCGATCTAGAAACATCAATTTGTTGACAAGAAAATGATATCGGTGTCGAGTCATCGTCTTGTTAAACACATGAGCAGTCTAAACATCAGTTGTGATATGTGGAAGTGTAATTATTTGATCATCATAGATCTCACGTATAGAATGACAATCCACTTCAATGTGCTTAGTGCACCCATGGAATACAGGATATAATTTGAACGACACAAATGTTGTTAGCATGAAGTGGAGTAGGATCAAGCTAAGGGCAGCTAAGCTCCCCTAGAAGACCTCGAAGCCAAATAATCTCAGAATAGGCAAAAGACAGTGCTATACTCAGATTCAGCTGAAAATTTAGAGACACGACCCTGCTTTTTACTTCGCTATGAAATGAGTACATTGCCATAAAAATATACACCAACCTGTAATTGAATCATGAGTATTTACACGCCCAACAGCATTACTATAGCATATTAACCTAAGAGAATTGGCACGAAAGAAAAGACCCCAATTAGGTATGCCTAGCAAGTATTGAACAATGCGTCGAACAGCGACCAAGTCAAGGTGTCGTGGTGCATGCATAAATTGACATACCCGTTGGATAGCAAATGGATATCGGGTCGTGTAATAGTGTGGTAATTCAAACTACCTACTAACTGGCAATACAAGGATGGATCAGGAAGATTACCCTCTTCCAAGTGATACTTCATATTTACCTCCAAATGAGTAACAATAGATTGACCATCCTGAAGTCCAACCAATTTAATCAGCTCCTTTGTATACTTATGCTGATGCAGACAAGTCTCGAGTGGATCTGTAATCACCTCAAGACCTAAGAAATATTGTAAAGGTCCCAAATCCTTCATATAAGAGGACTCCTTAAGTCGGTCTTGAAGTTGAGATAATAATCCGATGTTAGTCCCTATAATAACTATATCTTCCATATAACCAAGAAAAAGGACAACGCTTGTCTTGCTATTAGAAATAAAGAGCGAAGAATCATATTGACTTTGATTAAATGAGAACCTCAAGGGAGTGGAATGGAACTTGTCAAGCCAAGCGCGAGGAACCTATTTCAAGCTATAAAGTGAACACTTTAGCCTACAACCATCTTAACAAGGCAAAGAGAAAAGCCTCACTGGGGTAACATATAAATCTCCTCCTTAAGATCGCCATGCAAGAAAGCATTTTTAACATCCATTTGCCGCAAAGGCCAATCCTTGAAGGCAGCTATAGCAATAACAATACGAACCAGCTCCTGTTCTTAAATTTGAATAATATCCCGATCTAATTAGACGTTAAAAATAGATTAGAGCCTGGTACGGCAAGCGCTTCTCCCCCATGAGTGAATTCTTGAATTCCTTTAATAAAAAGTAAGGGCAAAAAGTCCCTTACACCATTCATACCGAATGGCAAGATTAGTTAGCTTTGCCTTGTTGATAGGCTAAAACACACCAATACAAGGGAGCGGATAAGGAAGAAAAACCGTTTGATTTTGGCACATGAAGTGGCAGGTTTGGCTAACATGGAAGTAACATAAGCAGATTCAAATACAGAAGCGGAAGAAGCAAAAACTACAATTAACATCACTATGATCGAGCTATTGAACACGGGGTCAAAAGTGAATTACGAGTCGGACCAATCTACGTCATTTTAGCATTAGGGGCAAAAGTCTCCTATAATCTACGCCATATTCTTGACGATTACCAAGAACCACCGAGCTTTATATCAATAGAGATCCATCAAAATGTAACTTAACAGAATAGACCTACTTACACCCAATAGGCTTTATATGTCCAATGTGTGATTTTCCAGAAGAGCTTGAAGTTCCTCTTGCATTGCTTTCTGCCAACAAGTTTGGGTAACTGCCTGAGAATAAGTAGGAGCTGTGACACGAGAAAAGGTTGCAAGGAAACCATACCGATCGGGAGGTTGAGTTTACGAGTGGATAGCCTAAAAGAAGTAAAGTTTGGAATGGAGTTAGGGTCAAAAAGGGTCGGTGGGGCTAGAGGCTGCCGTATCTGATATGCGAAACCTGGTTTAAATCGTTCGATAGAGCGAGAGCCATCATCAAAGTTAAGAAGTGAAGTCAAATCAGAGGACATGACATGTTGCTGAAGGTAATACTGATTCTCAAAGAAAACCACATTGCGAGAGATAGGAAGACGATTAGTAACACCATCGTAACAAATAAAACCTTTATGAGCAATATTATAACCCATAAAAGCACACCGTATGGATTGAGCAGCAAGCTTATGGCGTTCATGAAGGGAGAAAATGACGAAGCACACCCAAAAGTATGTAATGTGTCATAGCTAGAATGAGTACTATACTGACAAAAATGAGGCGAGTCAAATCCCAAATATTGAGTAGGCGGTCTATTTATCAAATGCACAACTATTGAAAGGTCTTCACCCCAAAATCTAGACAGAACCAAGTATTCCAAGAACAAAACTAAAAAAAATCTAACGATTCTTTCTTCCACCTACCTCATTCTGTTGAGGAGTATATGGCAATCATGAGACATATATTCCCCGCCATTCTCGAATCTAAAAAGTTTGAATACTAGAGGAGAACTGTGTCTCAATGAAAGTTACGGAAATCTTACAAGTGATACATACCTCACTTTCAGATCTAAGAAAATATATCTAAGTGTAACGACTGAAATCATCAATAAAGGTCACAAAATATTTATAATGAGCATATGAAGTGATTGGCGCCACACCCCAAACATCACTATGAATAATCTTAAAACATTTACGACATGACTTCCACGGTCTGAAAATGAGAGTCTTGCTCTTTCCAAGTTTACAAGCATCACAATTAAAAGTAAACTCAAAGAGCTTAAACAGATCTTTATTACCCAAAAAAACCGTATTTCGAAAAATGAGATAAAATTAGAGCATTAGGATAACCTAATCTTTTATGTCAAATATCATATTTAAGTCCAACATTAGTATAAGATAAAGATATAGAAAGAATTGTAAACAATAATGGGAATAATCATCTGATATTACGCCCACTAGCGATCACCTTCCCCAACCCTCCCGATCTTGCACAAGACAACCAGCATGAGAGAAACACACATCACAGTTATTTTCAACCAATTGACCTACCGAAATCAAGTTAGTAGATAAGCCCGAAAAAATAAAAAATTATCGAAAGAAGGTCCATATCGCCAACGCCAGTAATCAGAAGGGTACTGCCATTAGCAATCTGAATGTGATGTATACTAGTATATCATCAAATGTTGCGCAAAAAATTAGAACTACTTGTCATATGATTTAACGCCCCTGATTCAACAAACTAGGGAAACGAAATAACTTGACCTTTACCTTGGAGGCCCAAGGCAAAGAAGGCTGAAACAATCATTTCTTGAACCATTTATAGAGCAAGAACCGGTTGACTAGTGCTAGCTTGTGGAAGTACGGGAGTAGGACCCTGAACATCAACTATATCGCCAACGCCAGTAATCAGAAGGGTACTGCCATTAGCAATCTGAATGTGATGTATACTAGTATATCATCAAATGTTGCGCAAAAAATTAGAACTACTTGTCATATGATTTGACGCCCCTAATTCAACAAACTAGGGAAACGAAATAACTTGACCTTTACCTTGGAGGCCCAAGGCAAAGAAGGCTGAAACAATCATTTCTTGAACCATTTATAGAGCAAGAACCGGTTGACTAGTGCTAGCTTGTGGAAGTACGGGAGTAGGACCCTGAACATCAACTTGAAAGACCCGAGCTTTTCGATTTGGAGGCCGTGTAGGACGATCCTTACTGATATGACCTGGTTGCTTGAAGTAATTGCAGACCTTTTGAGGACAAGTCCGAGCAATATGACCATATCTTTTGCAATAAAAGCACTCGAGTTTACCCTTTTCTCGCCCTTCGGTAGCATGATAATGACATATCAGCTTCCATACTAGCCTAAGTGTCCAGTCATTGCTCCTTGCACAAAAGTTCACCCAGACACGCATCCAATGGAGGAACTAGATCGGGGTTCAACAAACCCGCTTGAACAACTTCAAATTTGGGTCGTAATTTTATAAGAAGCTGAACCCGCTTACTAACCTCTTGAACATCTTGTAGTGCTGATAAGGCTCATCGCAAGGACCTTAGCATGAATTATACCAGAGTACTCAATCCACAAGTTCAGAAAACAAGAATAATATTGCTCAATAGTAAGATTACCCTGATTCTAGTTGGCAATCTTTAACTCAAGCTAAAATCTCCGTGCATTATTGTCTTGGTAATAAATGCACTTTAAGTACTCCCACATCCCCTTAGCAATGGTGAAAGATCGCAAATTATTCACCATATGTGCTTCCATAGATCCCAAAATCCAAGAAATAATATGAGAATCCTTCGTTTTCCATGCACTTAGATCCTTAGCATCTGCACTTAGTCCTTGGCATCTTCAAAGGCTTTATATGACCCATCAATATGACCCCAAAGCTCCTTCCATTTTAAAAACATCTTGAATTGAAATTCCCATACGGGAACTTGACACGAAAGGCTTCAATAGCCATGACTCCGTATTACAAAAAATAAATTTACCACACAAAGTGAACCAATAGCCCACAAAGTAAATCCACACGCAACCCAATCTTAGCCTACACAACGAATCACAAACCACAACAACAAAGCCCACAAATTGAATCACACATACAATAAGTATACCTTATTGTTTAAGCCCAATACTCCATGACAGCACCAATATCACCCCAAAACCCCAAAGATAAAAGTGAAATCGCTCATGCAACAAGGATCTCCAATCACAGCCCGCGTAATGTGTAACCCACAACACGAAAGGCTTCAATAGCCATGACTCCGTATTACAAAAAATAAATTTACCACACAAAGTGAACCAATAGCCCACAAAATCCACACGCAACCCAATCTTAGCCTACACAACGAATCACAAACCAAAACAACAAAGCCCACAAATTGAATCACACATACAATAAGTATACCTTATTGTTTAAGCCCAATACTCCATGACAGCACCAAAATCACCCCAAAACCCCAAAGATAAAAGTGAAATCGCTCATGCAACAAGGATCTCCAATCACAGCCCGCGTAATGTGTAACCCACAGAAATGCGCCTACCATATCTCAGATGAACCAGCCCCAAATTAATGCTTGGACAACTCCCAAAAAATTGGAGCGCAAGTCGATCTGAAACCTCCTTTGATGTCATCGAATAGTGCTTGATCAACCTAGAATACCGAAAAGGGACTACTAGAAAGCTAGAAATTCTTCGGGTGATGGAAGAGATCCTACCAACGAAGCCTCAAGATGCAAAAAATCAGAGGTAATATGATATTTCGAAGACCTAGCGATTGAATTCAGAGGTAAGCTCTAATACCATGACAGGAATTAGCTGAATGATTTTCCCAGTTGGGATTCCTCCCAATATATGCGAAGAAGTTTACATATATATACTGCTAAGTTTAATCTAAACACGGAAAGCATAAACATGGTAAAATACAAATATGTATATAATTATAGTAAAAGTTGTTTGTCATCTTCATCGTATCTTCGTTGATTTTCGATATCTTATTAACACGTCATCGACACATTGATTAAATTCTTTAAAATTCTTCATTTATATAGTATAAATCTAATTTTATACTCATTATTATTATTATTTTTTATTGAAATCTTTAAAATATGAATGCTTATTTGTCATTCACTAATAACTTTAAATTAAAAATATCTAATATTTTTAATAAAAAAAAAAAATATTTATGGTAAAGTGTTTGAGGAGTGTCGATATCAACACGTGTCAGACACGGATACATTACCCCAGTTGAAGTGTCCGTGCTTTAGAGCTTTTCATGATTTAGCCTCGAGATGAGAAAATGAAGCTAAAGGGTATGACTCCATTTATTATTTGTAATGGCACTAATTAACAGTTGGAAATTATTTATTGAGTGTTTGTTTATTTCTTCTCTCCCAAAATATCCTTAATTTCTGTTGGGATTTTATAAAGTCATCCTTCTACATTTTTATTTTATTTTTTAAAGCAACAAAACCTTAAAGTAAATTAATGCACCATTAACAAAAATAGCAAAATGAACTAAAAGATAGCAGCATAGTGTTGACAATACAAATTCATCATAATTAAGATGAACTGCAGCATGTAGGTTCCTGCATAAAACAGAAACAGCATATCCATCACCTACTATCAAAAATTAAAGTGAATTGCATTCAATAAACTAATAGATTTTAGTGATAGAATGAACCTTATAACTCCGGCAATAAACACTGTTTAACTTTCGAAGAAAAAGAAAACCCAACTTTGATAGACGAGATAATTCCGTTTGGGCTTTATTTTGTTTCAATTGGGAATTTATTGTATGCTCAAGCGTCATAAAATTAACTAAACAAGACAACAGTCTTCATAGCCATAGTTAATATGTTAGCCCAAATGTCTAATGCAATATTGAACAGAAAATATATGGAGACAACCTGAATATTATATTCTACTTCAAGGTAAAGTTACGATTCTGATTTTTCTGTATACAAGAATATCCATTAAAACTAGCTTACCTATAAAAGGCATTACAAGAATGTGAAATTAACGTAAAATTAACTAAACAAGACAACAGTCTTCATAGCCATAGTTAATATGTTAGCCCAAATGTCTAATGCAATATTGAACAGAAAATATATGGAGACAACCTGAATATTATATTCTACTTCAAGGTAAACTTACGATTCTGATTTTTCTGTATACAAGAATATCCATTAAAACTAGCTTACCTATAAAAGGCATTACAAGAATGTGAAATTAACTGAATCCTAAGGTTATCAACATTGATGGTTATGAGCTGTTCATTCAAGTTTTTACTGTAATCCAAATGTCTAATGTAATATCAAGCAGCAAAACAGTGGGTGACAACCTCGGCATTATGATCTCTATATCAAGTTAAAGTCAATATTTTATTCACTGAAAGCCAGCACATCCATAGTAAACAAGCAAGAACATGAAGTCAACTGAATTCCTGAAGTTGATCAAATTAATGGTTATGAACTGATTCTTCAACTGTTTCCTATATTCCAAATTTCTAATGCAAAATTGAGCAGCAAACATTACAACATCTCAGTATTATGATATCTAGTTCAAGGTAAAGTTACCATTTTCTGTACAAGAACATTCACCGAAAGCTAGCTTACCAATCAAAAAACAACTGAGTAATTCAGGTTTTTCATATATTGTTTTATTTTTCGCAAATGTTTTGCTGAATTTACTTTCTTCTGAAATCTTTATTATTCTTCTGACTTTTACCTAAATATTCTAGAATATTCAATTATTGTTCTAACCAAATAATTGCACATGCTTCTTCATAATTTATTCATTAAGGGTCCACGTCTACAAACCTTTTCCTGGAAAGATAAAATAAAATGTTTGCCAAACAAGCAAACTCATCCTGCTTTCTAATTTTTTAAAATAGTAAAAGGCAAATGAACAGCAAGGTTGAGCAATAGGACATCAAGCACCAGGTTGCAATGCTATTGCTCCACATTAACTGTGACACTAATGAATAGACACAGAAAAACATGAAACAATGCGTAAGAGAATGCTTCGCATATGGTTATTTTTTAATTTTTTTTTAAAATGGTTTACAACCACCCAAGTTTATTAGAAACTTACAATAGTAAAATTATATTACCTATAAGAAATAGTAAAAATATTTTCTCACAGGTTTTTGACGAAACCATTAGTGATACATGACAATCCAGCAACTGATACATACCTCAAATTGTATAACTGGGCCTGCTGCCAAAATTACAGGAAAGGGAGGTGTGACCTACACATTATGAAAGCATATATAATAAGCATAATATAAGTAATTAATTACGAGTCATTAGAGATAAAAATATTTTGCACACTAATAAAACGATGGTTTACTGTAACTGAAGAAAGCACATCTAATGCCTAATGAAAACAAAAAATAAAGAAAGTCCTTCCCAAGCTACTTAATACATGCATTTGGATTACTTGAAATTCAAAAAGTTTACTTCAACCTTCAAAATTAATCATATTTATATAGTTTATTTTCAATAGGAAAAATGACTAATGGTTGAGCAAGAAAAATTGAATGAAATTAATTTAAAATAAACCCCAAATAGAATAAAAGATACAAAAAAAGGGATTAAGTAATAGCAGTAACTTATCCATGACCAAGTAAGAAAATTTTCATAAGCGCCAAAATACAGTCTGAAAAATGAGAAGAGCCATAAATCTTAAAAGTTAGCCTTTATTGCTGCAAAGAAGAAAATAAATTAAGAGGTAGCCAAAAACTGGAGGAAGGGGTCAACTGAATATAAGAATGAAGTAATTAAAAAGGGTCAAGCTTTGTGGTTTAACTGAGGAATGGCTTGTGATAGATCATAGTAGAAGTGGATCCACGCATCTCACCCAAATAAGTATAGGATAAAGGCCAAGCCGAGCTGAGGTAATCAAATGTACTTTCAGCTCTATACTTGGTTACCAGGACTAGCAAACCAGATTATTCTCTAAATTCAAAGCAATTACAGTTTGATTAAGCAAGGTGACAACATATAACTTGCACGGTAAATATTTTTTGCAGATATAAACTACAAAGACCTGATTTTTTAGGGCACAATTTAACCAGTAGAACATGAAGTGATGAGATATACAATACTTCAACAAATGAGTTAAGGGTAAAAGCCAAAACGAGTGAAAGGAAGATTCGAGATAGTACATCTTGGGCTTTTTATGATCGTTGATACGTATTGCCATTAATCTATGAATTATGAACCTAAGTGATAGATGAAGGAAATAATTCATACCACAAAGATCCTCTGCAGCTGTGAAACAGCACTGGCAAATTTATTATTGGATGGATCTTTCTTGTTCATTGAATCCTTGCAGTGCGGACAGTTCATATATACTGGTAAACTTCTATTTAACATGGAGAAGGCGCATCCACCATCATCAAGAGCAGCAGGTTGAAGGCTAGATTCAAGATCTTTCACAGAAGCAGTAACTGCTGATACGCCAATGTGCTCTTTTGGTGGTCTTGTATATTGCGTGTGCTTGTCATTATATAATTGTTGGTTAGCTACTCTCCCTTTTGACTTCTCCAAGGTTCTTGCCTTACCACTACCACCAGAAACTACCCCATTTGACTGTCTCCGTGTTTTACCATGGCCACCTATTTTACCCAAATTTGCAGGTTCTTCTTTGTGGTCAGAATTTCCCACTGTTGACTTTTCAGGAACCGCATAAGGAGAACCAAGTTCATTGAGATGATCTTGATTCAATATAAACCGGTGCCCACGAGGACACTCATGTTCAAACCCAACATATATTGTGACATGCTTCAAAGAAGTGGGCACTTTAATCTTGTCATTGCCATTCATATTTACACTCGTTTTATTTAAAAATGGATTACCAGCTCCATAGGCATCAACAACAGTCTCATTACCATTCAATGATTCATCAATGGCAGGAGTTTTGTCAACTTTTTGAGATTCTTGATTATGAGAAGTTTCACTAATTTTCTCCGTACCCCTGTATCTTGGACCATGTTGCTTGACACCCTTTTCTGCATCTGGTAGAGGTGGTTTTCTTGATAGGAGTGGCGGAAAACCAGAGTTTGTAGCAGCTGATCCAGCAACAACTTCGGAAAATGGTTTTCTCATTGTAAAGTTGTATAACCCTCTACCAAAACTGATGTTTTTATCATCAACTTTGATATTATCTGAAGAGGGCCTTTTTGGCATTCCACCTCCACTTTGTATTCTGCCAGTTTGCAACTGAGCAGAACCAGACGTCTTGGTTTCTGCTTCTGCAACAGCTTCAGCCTTTATGTTGTTACCTAACCTATTTAAGGAAACTTGCTCCAAGCCATTTAGTGGTGAATGATTTGTGCCTTCTTGCTTCTCAAGAAATATAGTCCACTTCATAAGAAACTTCTGAGTTGCACAGAAACCACTCTGGAATAAACCTTTAGAAGGCTCATAGTACCTTGCACCCCCAATTCGGACCAAACACCATGCCGAAGGTTGAACTGGGTCTTTAATGCTCACTTGGGGAAGTTTAACAGCTGGAAGAAGCTTTTCACAGTCAGGAAAACAACTATATATAACATTAGCTGTTTCGAAATCAAAAGGATCTGGTTGCAGTAGCCTAGAACGACCACAGGCACACGCATGGAGGAATACATAGCCACTGGAATGAGGCTTGAAATCATCTGCCATAAGCGTTTTCTGGTCATGCCTTTGGTGCATGCAAGGCTTTCCTGTGAGACTAACTGCATCACATAGTTGCCTTCCAGAACTCCAGATGGATGTGCATTCATCCTCCAATTTTTTCATGTAAAGCTGCACAGCAGGTCCCTTGACCATCGAATTAAATGCATGCAGAGCCTTCTTCAAATGAGCCTCATGCTGACAACTTGGATAACAAGGGGGCAATTCATTTAAATAAACCTCTTTAGCAACTGGAAGAGCCTTTTGGCACCACGAAGTGGAAAATTTAGTGTTCAGTCCTATACCACTCTCCAAATAAGATACTGCAGACTCTAAAGGATCAGAAGCTTTGTGTGCATTTTCTCCAGATGGATTGATTTCAATTTTATCCATACACCCATGTCTCGCTGAAAGAATTCCATGTAGAATAAGCTGACAGGAAGATAACCACATCTCCAAACTTGGAAGCTCAGGAGCAGTGAATGATTTTCCAGAAGCAGCAGAGGCAGCAGCTGCAGCTGCGGCAACGGCAACCATGCCAACACCAGCAGCTGAGCTACTGGCAGTGCTCGTGACCAAGCTGCTTCTCCCTCTTAGGATATCAGATTGTCTATAGATGAACTCCTTCACAGATAGAATGTCCTCTCTGTTTGCACTCTGGCTGTGGCTTTCAAGCAAAAGAGAATCTGAAGTCATCTTCCCTTTCAAAATATCTTCTATAATGCCAATGGCAAACTCAAGAGATTCACCGCTTTGATTTAAACAAACATCTAGAAGTGCTACAGCCTTTGATGCGTCAAGGGAAAACAGTGGAGCCAAACTAGAAATGCCTCCATTTCTTGACCCAGCATGGGTGGTTTCGGAACCTGAAAGCGTCCGACATTTTTTTATTGAAAAACGAATCTGTCCCTCAAGGGATGACTGCAATTTCTTCCTTGGTCCACCTTCAATTTTATTTACAGGTCGTGCAAGCACAACAACTGACCCAGATCCTTTCGTGGTCATGGTTGGTCTAGCCAAACTATTCAAACTTGAAGACTGGTTTAACAAAGAGGTCTCTGTATGCTCTTCCATATTACCACTTTGGTGAATATCAGAAAAATCATCAAGAAAAACAAAAAGTATAACAGGAGTGCATTGTCCAGGTAGCAAAGCAGTGTACGACCCTAAACCGGACATTAGTGTGATTGTTGAAGCATTACGATTTAAAATGCCTCGGCTTTTAACAGGGGAAGGATTATTTGATGATGCTCCAGACAGAGAGATCCGTGAAGATGAAGAACGTAACCCAGATGTAACAGGCTCCGTGTTTTGTGATTTCACAAATGGAGCCATTGCATGTTTAGCAGCTTGCAACACTCGAAACTTCTTCAAAATCTTAGTATCAAAGCGTGATCCCTCTTGGATAAGTATAATTATGTGACAAACCTGCATTGCTAAAGTACAATCAAATTGCTAAACTGAACAATTTTAAAATCGTCAAAGAAGAAAAAGGTTTTCAATGTCAAACATAAAAAGGTTACAAGTTGAAACCAGATTATAATGCACTTGAGCCTTGCCAATTAAACTTGGCACATTAAAGCTGAAGTTCTCTTCCACGGGCTGCTATTTAAGGAAAATAAATCTCCTATAACCCCATTCATAAAAATTGCATTCCCCACACTACTATAGCTTGAACGTATAAATATAAAGAAATGACGAGGAAACACTGCAATTCGCAGTCTTAAGTGGAGATATCAGCAAATTAATAGTCACCTTGCTCTAATAACTTTGAGCTCATTGTTTAACAAACTTTTTGAGGCTTAGGCCTTGGCCTCGCTTCATGCAAAACTTTCATTAAATGCCTTGAAATACGCCTTTGTGTCGGCTTGCTCCTCAATTTTGTTTTTTTTTTTTCCTGTTTTTTTTTTTTAATCTTAGATTCTTTATCTATTGCATTTACTTAATACTTTTTTTCCGAGCTTGCGGGGAGAGTCAGTTGAGGCGTACGTGCATTTATCTTGCCTTTACTGAGTACTGGCCTCAGGTTTTTGGGCAGTTCTTTTACAACATAGAACACTTTATACAAAAAGGTAAGGAGGAGGAGAAAAGGGAGGAGAAGACACTATTGTAAGTGAACAACGATGATAAAGAACGATAAGTAACTGCAATGAGGAGAATGACATGATAATCAGATATGTTAATGATTTCTCAAAGATATTCGTTGACATTTTGGTTTGTAAGTTAGACTAATAATATTGTTGTTGTTTTTTAATGATTTTGCAAGATCATTTACAGTTTATTACTTTTGCAAGAAGGTTTATAGTTTATTATGAGCATATTTATGTATTTTTATATTCTTATGAATTATTTTAAGATGTCTTGAGGCTTACACTTTGACTCATAGAGGTCAATACCTGATTGAGCCATTTTAGACATTGTCCAACTACCTACTTCATTGTAGACATATTTAAACTATCATGTTTAACATCCTTCATTTTACTAAGTTTTTTGGGTAAAACTACTTCTTTTCTAATAAAAATATTTCTCACATTAAAGATTAAAACAATGAAGTAAATGCCATTTATCCAATTATCAAACTCAGCCAAAATCGAATAAATTTAACTTCAATATTTTACTCGTTCTTCATTGATCAGAAAATTTAGGTTCTCTTCATATTTCTTGCATCTTTTCAGCACATGAACATCATTGGAAAGCTTCATTTATTTAAAACTCACAAAAATACCACATTATAAATTCCACATTTAACTTTTAGCATATAAAGAAAGATAAACAATCAATTGTATACATCATTTGAAACTTAGATACACAATCCAGAATCAAGTTGACCAAAACTCATGTTTAAATGGATTATCAGCACCAGAATAGATAGCCCAGCGTTCAAACTTGACTCTACAATATGATCGTTTAAAGTGAATTGTACAAAGAACATATTTACTTCCAATCGTATTCACAAAATGTCATTCTGACTAAGCATCCATTTGCCTCATTAACAGAAAACTTAAAAAGAGTGAACTTGATGTAGTACATTCTCTACTCCAAATAGGATTCCTGTTGTAATAGGATTTTCTCTATTATTTTCTTCTTTCTAGTTTAGAAAAGGAACTCTTTCTTGTTAGAATGGGATTTTTTTTTTTATTTTTTTTTTTGGGCTTTTACTCCTTTCAGGATTTTAATTGCTTAATCATCAGGACTAGGAAATTAATTTGCCTATACTAAACTCTTTCTTGTTAGAATAGAATTTATTACTATTATTATTATTATTATTTTATTTTTTTCGCTTTAACTCCTTTCAGGATTTTAATTGCTTAATCATTAAGATTAGGAAATTAATTTTCCTATATTAAATAAAGATTTTTTTACATTTTTTCAATCACCAATTCATTACAATCAAATTATTCTCTACAAATTTTTAAGTGTTTTCCAACTTTCTTCTTGTTTTAAAAATTTCAAATACGCTTCCACAACAAAATCGGTAATAGACTTAGAGGTTTCATGTTCGAGTCAATGTTGGGGCATTTCTATAAAGTCGGTCTATAGTACATGAGTATGCTTGAAACAAGGGTGTGCCTATTATCACCCAATAGTACCTTCGTAAGGCAAACTGAGTGTGATCCTTCAGCTCAAGGCATTGGGACTGTCTTATCTCAAGAGAAACGGCCAGTATAACTTTTCAGCAAGAAGGCTGGTGACACTGACAAAAATGAACTTCATATAAACTCGAATTTTATGCAGTTATTCGAGCTCTAAAACATTAGGAACATAGTTCAAAGAGAATTTGTTTTGTGCACTTATCATCAAGCATTGAAGTATATCTATCTCAAAAACAATGAACAACATACATGCACGGTAAATTATGTTTCTACAGAAGTTCACACTTTCTATCAAATCCTTCGAAGCCACGATTGGCCCAAAAGTTAATGGCTTCGATTGCTTGAAAGAATCATATATAGAAGATGATGATTCTGGGAAAGTGATGAGGACATCGGACGTTTACTTATTTTATTTAAACTTTATTTATTTTTGGACTATTATTTAAAATTTGGACTTGTATGGGCCCGGGTCCAATCTTGTTAAGGTTGTTTTACTATTTAAACCTATTTTGTATTGTAATTTTCAATTGATGAATGAATAATAATTATTGGTGGCTGTGGCGCACTTCTCCTCTCTTCTCCACTATTTTCCCCTTCTTCTACCGTGTTTCCCCCTTCTTCCATCCGTTCCCCTAATTTCTTCTTCCTATTATATGGTTTTCTCGCTTTCTATTCAATCTCTATTGGTGCTGCATCAAATTTAGTATCAGAGCCGAACATTGGGTAATATCTTTCCTACAATCCAAAAGTTCTTCTTATCTCTTTCCAAAATTTGTTGGAACAACACAATTGAAATAGATTTAGCGTAAAAGCGGTGTTTTTCATTTTTATTTTTAGTTCTCTGTCATTCAAAAAAAAAAAATCTGTTCACGGGTACTGTTCACACCTAAAATTCCAGTTTAGAATTTTTACAATTTAAAAAAAAAAAAATTTAGAGAGAAATTTCATTCGCTGGTGCTGCTGCTAAAGTGTTGTTCTAACCCTAATTCTCAAATATTGACCCACATACAAAACCAACCCATAACCCCAATCCCAAACTCACTCCGCCCGTAGCCCACTACCCAACTCCCATTCATCAGTTTTCAAATCATTAATCCGTTTGGCCCAATTAACGCTAGCCCATTATATACGAACTCAAACCAGTCCACACAAACAAATCTCAATCCAGGCAGCCCGATTCTAACGCATAGGATCCCGAACCCGGCCGACCCAAATTACCACAATATCCAATCCATATTTCACTTAACCCATTCTAACTCACCCTTACCTGGCCCACATAATTAACCCAATACTCCAACCCGTTGCTTCGTCCTCTCCCCAGCGTCGCAGCTTCCAAGCCAACCCTCGACCTTCAATCGGTCGGTCAACAATCGCCAGCATCTATTACCAACACCCACCTTCGTTCCCTATAACACCGGCGACCAATCACCCAGCCAATCACTTCACTTCCGCAACAACACCCGCGCCGGCTTCCTCTTCTTTCTTCGCCGAACCTGCTGCATCGGCGACCCCACTCTTCTATCACCGCCACCTTCCACCGGCGACCCATCCACGGTGAACGCCGAAGACACTCGTCATCTTCGCCACTACTCTTCTCCTGCGCCATTCACACACCAACACTCCCTCTGTTTCTTCTCGCCATACACTACCACACTTGTCGCCAACACCACAACTATAATTCACTCAACACACCACTCATCTATCATTCCCACAATCACTGTCAAAGCATCCACCACCACATCACCACGATCAATTCCCAGCAACTGTTCAAGGAATTCAAAGGAATCAGAGTCCAGACATTAAGCAGATGAATCACAATTCAGCAGGAGGGTGTTCTAAAGTTGAAGGAAACTGTAGCGAGGGATAAGAAAGAAACATACTTGGAGCCCCACACGTTGGCGATTCAAACCAATCGGAGTACCGGGAGTCCCAACTGAACTCAGGGAGTCACTGCTCTTACCTATTTTTAGTTGACACTACTGCTTTATTTAGAATTGCATCAATTATTTCCTTGTGTTGCCACTATTTTGATAATTTTAACCTTAATCCTACTTGATTGGAATTCGCAAACTACCTCCCCTTGTTCACCCGTTTATCCCACGTGACTAGGCCTATCATTTGTACCTTTGCTTTTTATGTTATTCGCATTAGTATTATTAGCTTGCTAAGATCGGACCTTACGTACTCTCATTTTAACAAACAAACAAACAAAAAAAAAAATAATAATAATAATAATAATAATAATATTAAAATTTCAGATTGCTAATCTACTGTTAGCACTCGTTGGTTATTGATCTCTATAGCGCACCTTACTTACTTAGTGTTACCGTGTATGCAATTGGGTAGTGGTCGTGTTACTGCTTCTAGTGCTAGTACCCTTGCCATGGACCCTTCCCAAATTGAAGCTCTTACCCGACAGTTGGCACAATTACAAAATCAATTAACGACTGTCCAAACTGAGGTAGCCGCTACTCGTGAGGAGAATAGAGCCCTAACCGCTAGGTTGAACACTCTTGACCCAACCCCATATTCGACCGAAGCTGAAAACTCTGAAGCTTCCATTAATAGACCTCGTTGTCGTCCACAAGGTGGTCGACACCACGCCAGACATGATCATAGGGAGGGAAATCAAGCTCGTGGACGGGAACGGGAATATCACTATCATGGTACACTATCTCCCCCTCACCACGAGGAGCGCCTCTTTCGAAATATTAAGTTAGATGCCCCTACATTTGATGGTTGTCTAGATCCTAGTGTATTCAATCAATGGGTTAGAGATATGGATCGCTTCTTTACCTGATATGGGGTCCCTGAGATCGGAGGATACAATTTGTC